GGGGGGGGGGGGGGGGGTTAGAATAATATCTATCCTTCAAAAGCAATATGATAGCTGCTGTGCTGAAAGAAGGGGTTTAATTCTACAATACAAAGTAGTAGGAAAAGGCAACAAACCTAAGTAATATTAAAAACAATAGTACAGCAATTGAAAAGGAAAACCATCTCCCAGGAAAGTGGATGAAAACAGGGTAATATCAAAAATACAAGTTTCCTGGAGAAAGATTAATAGAACCTCAACAACATTTCTGAGAAAGCATTAAAGAAATACTGTTTTTTGACCCGGTCCCAGACTGATTTGGGTACAGAGACTGAGGGAATGTGCTGTATATCAGGCTGCAACCTACGTCTGAGCAGAGATGTACTGGGAAGCTATTGAGATTTACCTCTGGAGAATAAAATATTGCAATAAGCATGAAAAAATCCCATACCATATATACAGTGAGAAAAAAATAGGAAGGAGTATGTCAGGCTGCTACCAGAAAAACTAAAGAACTAAGAGTGAACTTGAAGGAAGATGAAAAATACTGTGTTTGGACATCTCTGTTAAAATATTACTGTAACATCTCATGAAAATTTTCTTCCAACTTCCCAGGCTGTTAATGCTTGAAGGCCATTACGTTTTCTATCAGTGATTATACACACAAGTCTCTGGGTTGAAAAGAAAAGTATTAGAGAACAACGGGTTTCTGTGGAATCACAAGAATTAAAATTTTTAGGGCAAACAGAAATCTGTACAAAACTGTATCCAAACCAGGTTCATATAATCCAGCCAGAAGCAACTGTAAAAATCTGGTTCTAAATGTCCAAATTTAATGCAAAATCCTTCCTTGGCCTGCACAGAACTCTTTTGAGATCCAGCTGCCCAAAACATGAACAATTTATAAGTCCCCATGGAACAGGAACTGTGGCAAAGAAATAACATCTTTTTAAAGAGGAGGCATTCTATATGGAGTCCAAACCCACTGAATCCTAAATAGTACCATATCCCACAAAACACTGGACTTCTTCCCTGCCACCCCATTTCTGCAAAAACCTTCACTAAATGGTAATGCATGATACATATTCATAGGTATATTTTAGGGAGGGACACAAACAGTTACACAGTGCTAATGATACTTTTCAATCTGTTACCGCAATGTTTAAAAAGACAAAAGTCTGGAAAAAATGCTTCCTTTCTGAGGTATGAAAGTGGCATTAAAGAGGAGAACACCCCAGTGAGCATCTTTCTTTTTCATCATTATCTCCTACAGAACCTGGCTTTGTTTTTCTAAGTTCTTGCCTTCCGAGCAATTTGATTTTGCTTTGACTACATAAAACTAAAGTTGTTTTTCTCTTTCCTATTCAAATGAAGTTACACCATCAAAATCTTATGATTGACGGAAGCATTTTGGAACCTTTATAGTATCTGTGTATGTGACAGCGCAGACATTTGTGTGTTAGCAAACAGGTAACAGCGACGTTTATTAAATCACGTACTTTGTGGGCTAATCTGGAAGAAATCAATCACGTAAAGGAAAGCTCAGAGCATTGATTTGAACAGAGTAAGTAATAACGCTGCAGAAGCATATATCAAACCCACATAATGCAGCAAGACAGAAAAGGCTACTGATTTCTTATTTATAGTCTTATTTTTGGATATACCATTTCCCCCGAGTACCAGACTGAATATACATGGAAAATAAAGACAAGCTTCTGCCCCCTTTTCCCTGCTGAAAAATGGTTCAAACTGACTATTGAATTATTAAATGCAAGAATAACTTAGCTAAGAGTAAAGACAACAATTTTCTCATGAAGTGAAATGCTACAGCAGCATAATTGATTCTATTCCCATCCTGAACCGGTTATAACACTAATGACAACTTCTCAAATAACATTTATACATAATAATACACTCACAATACACACAATAATTGATGCAACATTTGCACAATTACCAAGTCTAAAGAAAAAAATTTATAGTTCAATTGCTAATTGATTCTGAAATGCTTTTCTTACACAATTTTAAATGAAAAAATGAATAATGTTTCCACTGCACTTGGCTTTGGGAAAGGTATTCTTCAGTAAACAAAAATGTGTTTAATGAACTTCCAATTACTTTAGAGATAAATATTAATATAAATCATAACAATAATTGGAGAGTTACACTGTTTATTGAAAAATACATCTGAATATTCTAAACAGGTTTATACCAAAGATAACATTTTTTCAAGATCTTTCACTTTACAGCATAAACATCTCTGTAAGGAAGGAAAGAACTTCTGTCCCTGCCTTTATCTGACACCGTGCACAGCCCCAAAGCTGAGATAAACCCCAACCAACTTCCAAAGCTGCTGGTGTTGAAGGCGAGTCAGTATCTCATGACACTTCCTAAATGAAGCCATAGGTTCTTCTCTTTTCCAAAGTGTTATAACCTAAGCATTTAGGAACTATGTCTTGCAATTCTACCCAGCTTATGAACCTAATTTCCCTATAGAAGTCAACTCTCGGGGACATCCGGTAGATCTGACAATAAAATAATAACAAAATTAAATAGACATGGTATGTCCGTCCACATCAATTATAATGATTCTTTATCTTTTTAGCTGTTTTACAATGTAAATAAGGAAACTAGCTAAAATGGAGCCAGGGAGGGATTCATCACAGAATTATTTGGGGGATTTTTTGTGAACATGACACGCTTGTATTTTCAGCGAGTTAAACTCAGATTAAAGGCAACTTGCTTCCTCAAATATACAAGCTGCCTCCTAACAACTCATGGCTATTGGCAGGCAAAATGCTTAAAATCCAGGATACAATCATGTGTCAGGCTCCATTCAGCCTTTTGCACAGAGATTCAGTTCTGCTTTTGGGCCATGCTGTTATTGATTGTCTCTTGCAGGATCATGTCTTAAATGTCCTGTGGTTTTAGAGACAAGGCAGGCAGGGCAGCCCATCCTCCATTCTCTCATAACACCAGAAACTTGTAAGATGAATAAAATGCAAACGTATTTAGCGGATACGAAGATATGAAAATATTACTTGTGATAGAGATCAATCTGCAAGAATAAACATCAGCATTTAGCGTGCAGGCAGTTTCTTTAACACAGCAGTTCACACACCAGCCTTGGTTTCATTGGGGTTTTTTTTATGGAGTGAAACTGTGTGCTGCATCCAGCCCGCACAGTTCACACACCAGCCTTGGTTTCATTGGGTTTTTTTTTTTTATGGAGTGAAACTGGGAGCTGTGTGCTGCATCCAGCCTGTGCTACCTAAACCTCTGTGGGTGGAAGTGTTGAGCCTTTAGGACATTTTTAGTTACATTAAGAGCGCTAAAATCTAAACAGACATCTCAGATCTCTTCATACGCCAAGTTACAAACAAGATAACTTAAAAAAATCAGGTAAACTGCCACGTTTATCCTTTTGTGAACACTGCTCTTCAGAAGGGCCTCACTCCAATTGTACCTGCTGGAATGGATTAGGCACAGCCACTTCAAACTGAAACGTGCAGGGATGACTCCTTGATATTCTACGCTGTATATCTCTGCAACATACTTTCTCTTCTTTCCTGCATTCTATGGGCATGGGGAAAAGTGTTGTTAATATTCATCAAATAAAATTATTTAAGAAAAACCTGAAAATCACAGACAGTAAGCAACTCGTCTGAACTCTGAGCTTCATCTTCAACAGGCATTATTTTCTTCAAGTCACGTTTCCCTCACACTTGGCACCTCTCCCTTCACACATTATCCATGGGGTTCGTGGATGAGG